CACATAAATTGTGGAAGGCGAAAGAGAGGAAAGTGATATTGAAGTTACAATATGGAAATGCTATAACAGATAAGACAAATATGAAAAAGTATTTCATCAATATTATTGTCAGTTGTATAAAGGTCAAGTAACAACAACAACAAAAGGCAGCACCTGTGCTGTACTTTGGAAGTCCCTGCTCAGTAATACTAGACCGGCATCCTCACTATGCTATTTTAGATGCCTGTTCAAAGCTTTATTTCAACAGATCTTCTGCAAGACATAATTTTGTTACGTATAATGGTTTTTAGTATTTGCCACTGCCACCTGTGTTTTGTTGTTAATTGTTTTCCTTCTGGTCCTTCCTTCTGGCAAAGGTGCAGCGGTAAATGGTAAATAAAACAATACTGTCAACACAAAAGTTGTTCCTGGAACTAGAAGTAGCCAACAAATGATTCCAGTCCTTATAAAATACATAGTTAAAGTTTCTCATTTGATTCCATTGTGATGGTTCCATTCTATGGATATGGTGGGGTTACAGCCAGCAGTGCAGAAATCAAACATAGAACTCTATCCATGCACCTGGATGACTTCTTTTCAGGCATATTCAGTCATAGAAGGGCACCAGGAAGCTTGCTGCTGTATCTCAAACTACATCTGTGATCAATGAGGATAGAAAATAAAATGTTTAAGAAAATGTGACTATTCGGAGCCAAGTGAGGTAGTGGAGGATTTCTGTAGATTCCCAGAATTGTGTTTAACTCAAAACAATGCTGAAGAGAAAAGCAAATTCAGTAGCAATACCGAGGAAAGGAATGCAGACAATGTACCAAGTCCAGTTTATGGGAATCATTAAAAAGAGGTTATCCATGGATGGCAGAGAATCATCATTGTGTAAAAAGTGATAAAGTCAAGACGGTTTGTGCACAACCAAAGACATGCAGGGAACCATCCCAGTCGAATATCATCTGATGCATTGCATGGCAGAGATGAAGAGCAATAAGACCTGGGACAGCAGTTGATGAAGGAAACAAGATGACAAGAAAAACAATTTCTTATCTACAAACAAGATCAAAGTGGTGGCACATAGGCTGTGTTGTAAACAAAAAATGCCCTTTTCCCTTATGGGGTATCCAAGAGCCCATATAGAGTCCTTACATAGGTTCCCTATTGGTAGGAGAAGATAACAGAGGCCAACCAAAGAATATTGAGAAGCAAAGCAGCTAGTAAGCTTGATCTTTATTGAACTGTTGCAACAGGGTGCTCCCCTCACCCGCAGGAGAGGAAGAGGAACCCAGAACAATGGCACGCAAGGCCTTATAAAGACTTTTGAAATTGCCACCCTGTAGATCAAGACCACCCCCAGAAACATCATACATACATCACAGAAGGGGTGTAATCTAAGACCACCCCTCAGATACATCATACCTACATCACAGAAAAGGCGATCGAAAACAGAAATTTGAATGTTGTTTTTCTCCTGTCATTGTTTATCTCCTGTCTGACAGGTTACTTGATTGGATTGCCTGGAGAGCCTGGCCAGTCTTTTGTAATGTTAAATACTTAGTGGGCCAGGTCACAGGCTCACACCTATTCATATCTTAAATGTGCCCTTAAGACAGGATTTGTGAGGAAAGAGACAATGGGGAGGTTTTGCCACTTTGACCTTGGAGAGAAAACATTTGTTCAGTTTAGGAATCAAAATGGTTCCAGGTTGGTCTTCCTGTGCTGATCTATGTACGTGCTTGGTTGGTACACTTATGAACATTACCATATATCTAAGACCATAAAATTCCTATCACAGCTGCAGCCAGGCCAAACCTGTACTGTCTATTGGTCTCCTGAAAAATGGCAACAGAGACTCATTGACACCAGTTCTAGTCAACAATACATTAACAATAGTAATCAGCACATGTGCATTTGAGTCTTAGAAATATTCTGTATAGTGTTTTGTGACTGTCAAAAATATAAGGAGTTTGTGGTGAGGGTGGGTGTGTCCACTCATACATATAAAAGGAGAGGTGCTTTGTTATTACAGCACAAACCAGTGCCAGACGGTATTGTTAAAAACAATTGTGAAACTGCGGTATGCAGCTTAGTATCAATATTTCTACAAGGTTTTCCAAGAGTGAAAGAAAACAGCAAATGTTCGGAAGCAGATTAACCAGAGCTGCAAAGGGCAGCCTACAACCGTGCAATGTTTATTGTGCATCTATCTAACAAGATTGGAATTAGAGATGCTACTGGTGGAGGCCACACAGTTGCTGTCACCATAAGACATTGTCTATGAGCAGAATGCCAGCATATTGCAAAGGTGAGAGAACCACCTCAGTAGTGGCACCCGCCCTGTGAAATGCCCCCCCCACCAGGTCAAAGAGAAAAACAACTACCAGACTTTTAGAAGACATCTGAAGGCAGCCCTGTTTAGGGAAGCTTTTAATGTTTGACAGACTACAGTGGTACCTCGGGTTACAGATGCTTCAGGTTACAGACTCCGCTAACCCAGAAATAGTACCTCAGGTTAAGAACTTTGCTTCAGGATGAGAACAGAAATAGCGCAGCAGCGGCGCAGCAGCGGCGCAGCAGCAGCGGGAGGCCCCATTAGCTAAAGTGGTACTTCGGGTTAAAAACAGTTTCAGGTTAAGAACGGACCTCCGGAACGAATTAACTTCTTAACCTGAGGTACCACTGTATTGTAATATTTTGTTAGAAGCTACCCAGAGTGGAAGGGACGCGGGTGGTGCTGTGGGTTAAAAGTACCCTAGTCTCAGACTACCAGCTGATCATAGGCATTTTGCAAGTTGTTTTGCTTGCACATGTTGATTCTGAATAATACAGGCAGAAACAGGTTACCTGATTTTTTAAAAAAATGTATTTTATTAAATATTTTCTTGATTTACAAAGGTATCTGCAATGTCTCTTGTATTTTTTCCATGTAACACTTTTTTTAAAAAAAATATCGGTTTCATTTGTTGAGAGATTAGGAAGAATAGGGGGAAAGAGGTGGAGGGGGTAAAGATGAGTGGGGGTGGGGTCTGGTGGTGATGTTTCTATTTTACTTAATATATGTGGGGTTTTGTGTCAGCGTTGCTTGTGCGGGTTCTCTGCTGTTCACTTGTGTTCCTTTGGTGGTGAGAGAGGTTGGGGTTGGCCTAGAGTGTGGCTGTTCATTTGTGGTTGGCTGTGGTGGTCTGTTCCCTATGCTGTTCTACATCTATTTCAGTGTGGTCTCAAGCCCCATTTTAGCACCAAAAGACTGGTGGTTACCCCATGTGATAACGTTTATTGGGAGAGAATCAGGAGAGAACAATCCAGTTATTGGATTTCTCAGCCTTTTCTAGGAGGGGATGCTCTCCTTAAAAAGGTTCATATTCTAGAAGTACTACTGGGTTCCAATCTGTCACTAAATCCCTGTGGAGGAGTACTTATGCCCAGCTTGGGCTGGTTCATCAGCTATGGCAAATCTTACCTGAGGAAGACTGGCCTCAGTAGTCCATTCTCTAGTGACTTGCCTTGACTACTACAATGCACACTATGTTTGAAGATAGTTCCAAAGCTGCAGCTAGTGCAGAATGCAGCTGCTAGGTTGGTGGCAGGAACAATCTAATAGAATCATATGGCATCGGTTTAAAAAGTGCCGCACTGCCTACCAGGTCCAATTCAAGTTGTCAACACTAGTGCAAAAAGCCCCAAATGGCTTGTAACCCAAGTAACTAAATGAATGCCTTCTCCACTATCAACCATCTTGGGTCCTATGGTCAGCAAAGGAGGCCATTGGTGGTAGTGGTGTTGCTATGTGCCACCTGTTTGTGCTAACCTAGTGTTATGTACTGAGTTGAATAGGATCCAAACTGCAGCAGTCTGATTGGTCCTAGAACAATAGGATCCAAAAGGCAGCAGTCTGATTGGTCCTAGAACAATAGGATTCAGAATGCAGCAGTCTGATTGGTCCTAGAACAATGCAGCAGTATGATTGGTTGGCAGGAACTATCCAATCATGCTCCAGATAGAAGTGAATCCACAACCTGATTGGCTTACAGTAGAATTCCGGAATTAGCCAATCATGTGCAGCCCATTGTGTAAATAATGTATATAAAGCAGATACTTTGAAGGGGACTTTCATTCATTCCTCCTCACCCCTATGAGCTGAATAAAGAGCATGAAATCACTTTGCGACTCTGAGTATATTTCACCTAGGTAAGGAATTCTTGGTGCCAGTCCTCTATTTGTGGAATGATCTCCCTGGTGAAGTATGTCTGCCTCTTTTATTATTAACATTCAGAAGGAACCTTGATATTAGCAGCTTAGGGTATGAAATGTTTAATGCCCTAAATTTAATTTTAATGAATTGTATTGTTTTGCTAATCTTTTATTTGCCACCATGGGCTCCTTGGGAAGCATAAATTTCAGTCTCAGAGGCAGTATATCTCTGAATACCAGTTGCTGTGAATCAACTGGGGGGCTTTTGTGTTTAGCTCTTGGACGTGGGCATTTTTACAAGCACCTTACTGGCTTTTGTGAGAACAGGACGCTGGACTCTATGGACCTTTCTTCTGATCCAGCAGAGTTCTTCTTTTGTTCTTATACATACTGCTCATGGTACACTCTGGGGGACGAGTTACATTGCATCCTACTCTTCAGGATGCAGATGGAAATAAGATGGTTGCTGACATGGAGGCAGTTACATTTTGTTTCCTTCCTTCCCGTTCAAGGGAAAACGTTGCCATACATTGAAGCAATATAAGTGTGTCTTCCTTGTGCATCTACATTTTGCCCGCAACTCTGCCAGCATACTATCACTGGCAGAACAGCTCTGCTGGCAGGGTGTACCACTGTTGTAGCTTGTCATTTAATTATTTTATTTCTCTATTGCCTTCTCTTGAGGAGTACAGAGCAGTTTACAATATAAAAACACAACTATGCATAAAATAATAGCAAACAAAAACAATACCCCCCACCACAGTTTAAAAGGCCATAGATGGTTTAATTAGCCAAAGGCCTGGAAGAACAGAAATGTTTTGTCTGGTATCTAAAGATATGCAATGAAGGCACCAGGTGAGTCTTGCTGGGGAGAGCATTTCATAATTGGAGAGCCACTGCAGAAAATGTCCATTCTTGTGTTGCCATCCTCCTGATCTCTCGTAGAAGAGGCAGACAAAGAAGGACCTCATATGATGATTGCAAGATCCAGGTCAGTTCATATGGAGAGAGGCAGTTCTTGAGGTATTGTGGTCTTGAGCCGTCAGGGGGGTACTTAAGGGTATGCAGTACCGGCACTGCTCTTTTGTTGTTGTTAAAAGTGTGGCACTTACCGTCACAACTTCATGGTACATAACAGAACCTATTTTTCTAGAAAAAAAGCACTGGATACATTATTTAAAACATGCAACAAATTCAACAGCCACAACACAACCAATTATTACATATTTAAAACCAACCCAGATTTCATTCCGTCACATGGGCCAGAAAGGTAGTGCCTGATGGGAGCTTTAGTACTCTCTTCTCCTTTTTCCTACTGAATTTGAGAATTGACTTGAGACTTCTATTCTGAAGTATAAACTGCTTTGTAAAGACTGCAGAAGCAGAAGTAAGCAACCATTCCTTTTGTTACGCCTGCAGTTTTCTAAATGGTGGCCATTTCTAATGCAGTATATACTCCAATCCCTGATAAAAGTCAACATGTAAAGGCTTAGAAAAGAAATCATTGTTCTCAAGAGGCATTCATGTGTTTGCACACAATAGGGCAGGCCAGCTGGGAGTGCTGATCCAATACTGAACCTGGCAGGAATTATGATTCTCACTATTTTCCACATGATCAACCACTGTGCACCAAAAATGCTTTCCCCCCAGTATTGTGTACTCCCACAATTTCTTAACTGTGCTGAATTCATCCTGACATGATTTTCAGAAGAAGTTTACAACAGCATTACTACATAGAATTGCCATATTTCAAACAGTGAAAAAAAGTTGTTGAGCTTTTGGGGCAAAAATTCACACACAAAGCTAGTTTTATGGAAAAATGGCAAAAGAGGCTGCCATACGTCCAGATTTCCCCAGACATTTCCCCAATTTCTGCCCGGACACTGCTGCCAACTGCAGTATTCTGGATATGTCCGGGGAAATCCAGACGTATGGCAACCCTAAGCACACAGGATTTGTAGAGGAATAATGGTTTTATTTAGTGCCCCCCCCAAAAGCAGGATTGAACAAAACTGAGCAGCTGTGAGTTGCATCAGCCCCCACCCCATATTGCCAATTAGTGCTCCTTTCCTGGCACTAAATAGAATGGGAGACTTCATAAACTCAGAACAAATAAAAAATATTGACAAAGTACCATACGCCAGAAGTCATGACACAGTAACCATCCACAGAATATCCATGACATTCATGCAATCCTAATCCATAAAATTTGTGAGATATTGTGCTGTCTTTCTTCACGAAATACTGGACTTGTTAGCACTAAAAACTACTTCATATGCTGGGGAATGAGAGCTCCGCAACACAGAGGAAAAAATTAAGAACTCCTGTGAATAAAGTCAGTGTACAAATTGAAACAATAAACTTTACACAGGCAGTTAAAACTCATGTCCTAGTATACCTTCTTTTTTTTTGCAACTCTAGGTAATTATGGATAAACAATTTAAAAGTTACACTTAATAAATAAAATAAAACACATGGAAGTAGTCTTAGTAAATAAATGGATACATCACCTAGCTGTAGTATCAATATTTATAGCCAATTTAGTGCCAAGGGAACCAACTATTGTGATAAAAGGAAAAGGAAAAAGCGGCTGCTAGAAACACAACACTGGTGTTGTTAGGACACCAGTACCTATTTTTATGTCATTTCTGCACAAAACAGCAGTGCCCCTTGTTTTACTTTTAATTATTTTGATCCAGCAGTTGCAGTTGGGAAGAGGCGTTGAGGACTAGTGACTCATCTCCGACTAAAAGGTGGAGCTTCCCTCCAGGAACACCATTATTCTCACACGTATACAGTTACAAGCAAACAGCGCCTGCTGAGCCAGAAGGGGAGAACTTCTTAACTTTCGTTCGCTTTATAAGCGCCAGAAACACCACCCCCGTCCTCACTAGTTAGCTGGGAGCAAGCGAGCTCTGCCGTTCCACCTTAAATCCCTTATCAGCCGCTCGTCGCGCTGACCAATAATATCCTTAATCCTAGGGGGGAGGAGCAACGAGAAAAATATGCTAAATAATTGTGATTCATTTGCATAACTGTTGAAACGGCCAATATGCGGATTGGCCGGCGGGGGAAAAAAAGCAGCTCGGCGCATCCGGCCCCCTGCTTCCCGGTAGGAGGTGTGGCCAAAAGGGAGTGGGAGGAGAGATCGGTGCTCATTTGCATAACGGCCAAACGTATGCTGTAGGTTGTGTTTTTTTGAATCGGCGGCGGCAGCGGAGGCAGACGGCAGCGACCGTGGGCAGAGCTCTAAAGCGCGGGCGGCGGCGGCGGAGGACGCGCGCGCAGGTACCACTCGGACTCTGAAGGGCAGGGAGGGAGCGGGGCTGCTGGGTACGAGTCAGGGCTTGCGTCGGAAACGGCGGCAACCAGCGGCAGTTTTACCAGAAAGCAACTGGACTAGTCACCCTCAGGCTGCGTTTTGTCGCGCGGGGAAGGCTTCTTCTTTTCTCCCGGATTCCTCCAACCTGCTTCTCACGGATCTCGGCTGCTCTGGAGGCTCCCTGCGGCGCTCTGCTGCCCCCAGCGGCAGCTGCTGGTTGCTTCTTTCCCAACCCCCACCCACGCGCTGCCTGTCTGGCCGGGAGGAGGAGGAGCCCTCCCTGCTGGCAGGAAGTGCTTACTCCCGGACATGCGCAGTGCGTAAGCGCGCGCGAAGCCCTCGCCTGTAGCTCTCGTGGGGTGGAGAGGCGCCACGAGGAGCTGAGGCTTCCGTTCGCTTTGCTTCTAAGCACACGAGGACAAATAAGCTGGAATTCGGAGCAATCGGTTAGTGTTTTAACTTACAGTATTCTGTGCATGTTGGTTGGTTGAATGCAAGTAGTCTTATTTATTTATTTGTTTATAAAGGTTTATTTTGTTGCTGCAGCTTCATTATGATTAATCAGACAGCTGTCAAATGACCCTTTTTTATTTCTGTTAGCTTACTAAAATGTTTATTTCAAGTGGGTGAAGGAAGTAAAATTGGGTTGGGCAACTTTTCTTGGTTACTTTCATGTCCCCATTTAGAAAGTTCCAGAATACTTTTAGTGCTAGAGGAAAATGTGATCTAAATCCAATACATAAAGTAAAAACAAGCACTGCTCTAAAAATGTCAATGTCCCATAAAAATGTGTTTGTCTCTCACTCGCCTCTCCTTTCCGCCAGCACTATTTAAATAATAATAGTACAATACTCTGGCTTTCTGGTTTCATGGACTGCAAGCTGCCAAGTTTAATTTTGGAACAGGCTTGCTGCTGGGACTGGCTATATAATAAGCAAGTCATGGCCCACTGGGAGGGTAGTTCTTTGAGGATCTCTATTGTCTCAGGATAGGCTACAGAATAAAATCGGAATGCATTTGTTGCCCCCATTTATGCATGCGTATCCAGGAGATCAGTTGTAAACAGCAACTGTGAGATACTGTTTGTTGGTTCAACATAGCAGTAGGCTGTTGTGGCACGTTCGTTAGAGAGTGTGCCTTTAGCCTGCTCTTGTAAAAGTAAAAATATATTAGTGATGATGTTGACAGAAATATTGTGCCAGAGTTTGAAGGAGGGAGAAGATAATGGTTGGTACCTGAAGAACAGAAGGAAAAGCCTTGTTATTACATAACAGCAACACCTATTCGTATTAACTTTCATATTAAATAGATCTGCATAAATAAACAAGCCTTTATTACATGATGGCAGAATGTCTGGCCTGGTTATATCACAGATTAATTTTGAGTTTGTTGAACACTCAAAAGCACTATATAAATGTTTATTATGTCAGAATGGCCCAATTAGAACTTTTCTAATAAGAACCCTCATACAGTTATTGCAAGATTGAAAGTGCAGGAAACTGAAAATAAAAATCTGTGTTTCATGGAGTCATAGAATTGTAGAGTTGGAAAAGGACCCCAAGGGTCATCTAGTCCAACCCCCTGCAATGCAGGAATCTCAGCTAAAGCATCCATAACAGATTGACATACAGTCTCTGCTTAAAAATCTCTTAAGGAAGCAGAGTCCACAACCTCCCGGGGGAGACCATTCCACTTTGAATAAGTGTATTGAGTTTTTATTTATTAGTTTATTGCTAAAATGGTAAATTATCAAATCTAAGTCTTCCCACAGCACTCCAGTTCTCCTCTTCTGATACTTTTCATAGTCTTGAGTGGCTTTTCTATATCTATACATAAAAAAACTAGCTTGTATTCTGGACACAGTTTTTGTAGTGCAAAATGCACTGCTGTTAAGCTCAAAATGGCTGTCTTTTATGCAGCTTCAGGGTGTAAGCATAATCCTCACATGCGCAAGTGCAGTTTCCCCACATGTGAAGGGATCCCCATGGGGCACAAAAGAAAACTCTTCTGTTACTGTCCCTCCTTGGGAACATGGGCAAGCGCACCAAGTTATTATGGGGAAATAGGAAGTGTTTGCGCCTTCCATACCTCTATCAAGCCATCTTTGATTCTTGGAGGGGGGTTGGAATGAAAGGGGGAAGTGCACACATACTTCTGACTTCCGTATAAGAGCCTGGGGCCTTTGTGCTTCCAAGTGGGGAGGTGGAATAGAGGGAAATACCGTGCCTCAAGTTTCTGTCTATATGCTTTATTTAAGGAAGTCTGTTCATCACCCAATTGTTTAAAGTTTATTTTTCACTAAATATACCAATTCAGTTTTTAGTTAAATGAACTCAGTAGGGTATGTGATGTGCAATGCGAATCCTTCACACTAAACAGGACTTATACTTGGTAGTTTGTGTTATGTTTTACTATTACTTGTCCTTCAAGAACAGTGAACAGTCCATATATGCATTATATATCTGGATTGGACTACATAATATAAAGTGCAGAAATAATAGAAATTAAAGGGAAATATCAGTTGCAAAACTGCTAACCTATCCCACAGAGAATTATTTCACCCCTTTTATGTTCTTCCCTTCCTCCAAGGGATTTAGAGCAACATGCATAAGATGTTTCCAACTTAATCCTCACAACAATCCTGTAAGGTAGGTTACACTTTGTGATGAGAGTAGGTAAAAAAGGTAAAGGTACCCCTGCCCGTACGGGCCAGTCTTGACAGACTCTAGGGTTGTGCGCTCATCTCACTCTATAGGCCGGGAGCCAGCGCTGTCCGCAGACACTTCCGGGTCACTTGGCCAGCGTGACAAGCTGCGTCTGGCGAGCCAGCGCAGCTCACGGAAACGCTGTTTACCTTCCCGCCAGTAAGCGGTCCCTATTTATCTACTTGCACCCGAGGGTGCTTTCGAACTGCTAGGTTGGCAGGCACTGGGACCGAACGACGGGAGCGCACCCCGCCGCGGGGATTCGAACTGCCGACCATGCGATCAGCAAGTCCTAGGCACTGAGGTTTTACCCACAGCGCCACCCGCGTCCTGATGAGAGTAGACAAACTTGCTAAACTTAATGACTAAACTTAATGACTAAACAGAGATGGCTTTGTGTTGTGATTTATCCACTATATTATATTTTGATTCTAGATTCAGGTAGATAGCCGTGTTGGTCTGACACAGTCTGTCTTATTACAAAGGAATTTCAGAAATAGACTTGAAAGAGAAGTTGCTGAATTACAACTTATTACCAAACTGAAAACTATGGAAAGACCTGGTCTGAATAGAGATATTGGATTCTTGTCTCATTACACATGCTAAAGCAATTTTTGGTCATCTGCATACTATCACTTGCTTTTTCCTGTAAGACTAATTGCAGTCGTTAACAGTCGTCAACAGGTTTACCATACCCATTGAGCCAATCACCCATTTCCTACTACCCTTCTGAGAAATACCCCACCCCACCCTCCCACAATATATAAGGGTCTGGTGACTTCCGCTTCAGTGTATCAGAAGAAGTGTACATGCACACAAAAGCTTATACTGGAACAAACTTTGTTGGTCTATAAGGTGCTACTGGACAATTTTTCTATTTTTATTTCAATTGTATTTTGAATACATCTTTGATTTATCGAACAACGGTTGCAGGGTCCAAATGATCTGTATCAGTTTAGACTGGTGGACCTGAAGCTGAAGCAAAACACTGAGTAGCATGCAAGTTTCCTCTTCCCAATTTGCCAAACTTTGACGAAAAACCCCACCTTTAACACTGGGTGTTTCCTTCCTATTGTATCCAAAGCTAATAAATGTTTTGTATTTCAGAGTGAAGTTAGAATGGGTGTTTCCTTCTTGACAATAGCACAGACTATTTAAGGTGGCTGTTCAGCTGAATCACTCCCAATTTCTCTCTTTATCTAGATATTCCAGAGTACTGATGGGATTTGAACTTTTTTCTTTTTAAAACACACACACACACACACAAACAAAACAAATACTTTACTTTTTACTGTTACTTTAATAGTCTATATTTCTGACTCCTAAACTTTAATAGAGGAAACAGAGTAGATACTACTGTCTTAATAATGTGTGGTTCATTAAATGGCGAATTCTTACACATTTTCTTCAGAAGCCTACAAATTTTGGTTTACATCCACCATTATTTTGTTTGCACCAACCCTATTCCCTTTCTGAAATTGTCCTGGCTTATAAAGGGGAACTTGGGGTGGTCTGAGGAAGGTAGGGAAAATATGGAGTCTCTCCTGAGCAGTGCAAGATATTCCTGCTGTTCCTTCCCCCCTTCACAATCTGCAGCATAAAATGAGAGGTGGTTGCTTCCCTTCATAGAATCATAGAGTTGGAAGAGACCACAAGGGCCATCGAGTCCAACCCCCTGCAAAGCAGGAAACACCATCAGAGCACTCCTGACATATGGTTGTCAAGCCTCTGCTTAAAGACCTCCAAAGACGGAGACTCCACCACACTCCTTGGCAGCAAATTCCACTGTCGAACAGCTCTTACTGTCAGGAAGTTCTTCCTAATGTTTAGGTGGAATCTTCTTTCTTGTAGTTTGGATCCATTCCACAAAGTACTCTTCAGTTCGCTGAGAACTAGGAGGCAAAGGAGAGTAGTTGTCATGGCTGGACATGTTTGTGAATCCCTGCTAGTCTAATTAAATGGTAATTTGCATTGAGCTTTGGTATTTATAATATTAATTTATTAAACTGCAATGATTAAGCAACTACTTGTTGTTAATAGTGAAAACTTCTACAGCTGTAAAGAGAGGAGAGTGGGTCACTAATAAAGCTATATCACCATACAGCCATGTATTGTGTAATAAAGAAAAATTCTGGACTGAATCAAAATATGCAGTGTACTGAAGACTGCATATGTAGTGCTCATCATACCTAAATATTTGCAAATCACCTTTCATTTGATTATCTCATACAAGATGCAGCTTCATTATTATGACTTCATAGTACAAAATACACCATTGATTTATGATGAATGGATGGGTAGTCATCTAGTTATTTATATACTAATGATTATTCAAGTGTCCCTATTATTGTGCTTTTTGTCACCAAAATTGTACTACAGAAACACAAGACAGCCGTACTTCCAGACTTGAGGTAATGCTGAGGTATGTACAAGCTCAGGAACAAATCTAAGGAACAAATCTAAAGGGGGGATGGGACCCTGCCCCAGCATTTAATGAATCAATAGGATGGATTGTGGAGACTGAGACACTGTGGGGGGTGGGCAGTGGAGTAGAATTGTGTGGCTGGAACCGGAAGACAAAAACATATAAAGAGTAGAAAAGATCAGTTCGTTGTTTGGATAGAAGCCATTTCTATCCAAAGTCATTTAGTTTTAAATTACTCTGGGAGCAGAAGATAGAGCTGCTCATAGACATCAGTGAAGAGATTATATAATTTAATGTACAGGCAATCCTTGTTTTGTGCAGGGGTTATGTTCCCCCACGGGTGTTGGCAGAAGACATCCCCCCACCCCCCCAGCCTAGGCTTGTGCCCCGGGAGGTCACTTTGGTTCTGCTAACACAGCAGTTTGACTTTACCCCTCGGAGGCACACCCTCTTGAGACAGAAGGATGCCAACAAAAACATGCCTGTCGTTTGCCTGTCCTAAACTCCTTTGTGAGTCTTTCCTTCTTTGTGAGAAGATCATGAATATAATGCAGAATCTTTTTTGCACACTCTAGATTATCACCATTTTGATGTTTATATTCAGGTTCTTTCTTTTTAGATATAATTTTTTATTAGTTTTACATATAATCACATTGCGTAACATCATATCCTCTTATTAAATCTCTTTGGCTCAACTGCGCCTAACAACGTCCCCTCACTCCCGCCTTACAAACTTAAATTTTGTATCTGTGCATTTCACTTCCTTTCCTATTCTTGTTGTATCATTACCTAAGTTATTACATTACTTATCCTGAGTAGGTAGTAATTTCATCTTACAAATCTTCAGGTAACACTGCTAGTGATGTTATATTCAGGTTCCTTCTATTTGGACTCTTTTTGGTTAGTGTTGTGTATTGCATTCTACTAACTGCTCAGGACCGCAATACCTCAAGGACCTCCTCCCCATATAAACCAAACCAGGCTTTTGTGCTCATTATCTGAGGCCCTTCTTCGTGTTCCTCCACGAGAAGTCTGGAGGGTGGTAACGTGAAAACAGGCCTTTTCTGCAGTGGCTCCTGTGACAGAAAAGTTTGTTTTTGCTGGGCAGGTTGGGTCAACAAGTGTTTTCTTCTTCTTTCTCCCTGCCCCTAAATGGTTAAATGAATGGCAGCTTATGACTGGCTGGGGTTCCAGGAGAGGGAGTTGAAAAGGGGAGGTTTTGGAGAGACAGTTGGTAGGTAGGGAGTGAGAGGAGAGAGAGTTGGGTCTGGGTAGAAACATCCACTCTCAGGAATATATCAAAAGCTAGAGAAAGAAGTCTCTGAGTTTAGTGTGAAGGACAGTGTGTGGCGTCCTGTAGGAGTAATTAGACCAGGAATTAACTGGGATGCTGAGCCTGAGCCAGGAGAAGCTGTGAAAATACAATCTATTTAGGACTCATTCCAGTCAGGAAGGGAGAGATTCTTCTAGAAAGAGAAGACTCAAACCAGTTAAGAGGGGTGTGGTGATCCCTTGAGTCTGTTTCTTGGAGTACCTCAGGAGTAGGGGTGTGTAACTGACAGGAAGTACCCCATTGTTTAAGAACCAAAGAATTAAGCGGCAACAACTGTGCAACAACAGAAAGAACTGAAATAACATAATCTGAAGTATCCTATGTTTGACCCACTTGTGTCATAAACTTCCTTTGTTTAATGACATCTTTATTGTTTATTTGATCAAATCCTGCCTGAGACTCCAAATTATTAAGTTTTCCCTCACACAAGTCCCCCACAAGATCATCTGGGGTAGTTTGTAAGAATTCATGAAATTGGTGTTCTGTGAAGTGGGTACACTACATTTCAATGAGGGTGGGCCCAACGGCGCCAGGGGAAATAGTGCCGTTGCGCTGTGGCAGCTCCCCATTGGTGAAATCCTCTCCCTAGGGAGGTTTGTCTGGTGCCTTCATTATATATCTGTATGTGCCAGGCAAAACCTTTCCTCTTTAACCAGACCTTTGGCTGATTAATATTCTACAGCCTTTTTAATGTACTTGTGGGAGAGGGTGCTATTACTTTGTTGTTTTAACTACTTGTGTTTTTATATTGTAGTTTTATCTTGTGAAATGCCCTGATATCTTTTGATGAAGGCTGGTATATAAATCTTAACAAATTAATAATAATAATAATAATGACAACAACAACAACTGATGAAGGAGGCCTTCATGTTTCTAATCAGGGTTTTACTTTGATCCTGTTAGTCAGAAGACATTGATTGCATCGGTGGGGAAGGATGATCAATTCGTTTTATCCTTTTAAAGGTCTGAGCAGTTCCATCAGGTAATGTACCCAGTTTTAGTTAGGTGGTTATATGGACTTTTCTTTAAAGTTTCCTTTTCCAGCAGCTCTTCAGTTGAGGATCTCTGAGTAACTTTGGACCAGTACCTGTGTCTTGGCCTAACCTACCTCACATACTAGTTAGGATAAAATAGGGAGATGAAGTACCATGTATGGTACCTTGAGCTCCTTGGAAAAAACCAGGGTATAAATGTAATAACTAAATTAGTAAGTTTGCGTAGTAAGCAAATGTATTAATAGTAAGAATTTTTCAAAAATGTTATTTCAGTAGTGAATATTAAATAGGAGAATGCTAGAAAAAGAACATGTTCTTAGATTTTTTTTTAGTATGAAGGTTTTTTTTTGGGTTTTTTTTTAAGGAACTCAAAGGCATTGCTCAGGAAACTGCTTCATGTGTCAATTGTTTAATACCTTAAGCACTAGTATCATAACACATAGCCTGGACAACCAGGCACCTGGGATTTGTTTAGCCAGGACAATGAAGTAACATTTATCTCTATGACAAATCCAGTTTCCAGTTCTTGTATGACAAATCATCTACAATTTGAAATTGAGAGGTAGGATACAAATATTCCAAGAAAATCCTGTAATCATCAACAAGTGTATCTATATTGGCTTTAGTTGTCAGGAACATCCTGGATCCAACTGGACATAGCCTTGGCCTTGAAACATGCATCCTGTATACCTTTCCTCAACAAAGTTTTGAGTGAACCATTTATGATTGTTCTTGTTTTTTATTTGACAAAATCATAAAAGAAGAGCCACAGATCAGCCATAGTGCCACATGCAGAAGACCCCAGATTTATTCCCTAGCAGGCATACAAAATGCTCCATCCCTGGAGGATGGGTAGTCAGTCTAGATAATAATGAGATGGATGGACCAGTGGTATGAGGCAATTTCCTATGATCTTAATGTGTATTTGGATGTGCCTTGGAAGTCAAATGGCTTACGTGGCGTCTTTCAATTTTCTCAATGGGAATTGCCGACAGCCCTTTGTTCCTTGGTTGTCGAATGTTTCGGAAGTCAAACAGTCTTCTGGAACGGATTACTTTCGACACCTGAGGTACCACTGTATATTATTTATTTGGGACCTCTTACTATAATCTAAGATCAGCAGGCTCTGATAGTCAGTGACGCGTGATAGCTCCCCTCCCCCCATATTCTGGGCAATTTTCCTCTATTGTAGTTTTTCATATAAATTTGGTATTTATTTCAGAAAATTCATTGCTTCATAAAGTTAATTAGTAACCTCATAAATTGATCCAATACTAGTTAAACTTAGTTGTTTCAAATATATTATCTTTTTCCAGATTACTATACTACTGAAAGGAAATACACTCCTCTTTGGATGTGCTAAAATTAGTGTGAATAAGCACCATCATCCGCTCTCCCAATGTAAACAAGGGAAATGTATGCATGTTAAGTGTTCAAATAAAAATAATTTTGAATAAAACTTTGATTTTTAAAAAGCAATACACAAGCCAAGCTAATGTGCTCTGTTTCCAGCCCCCTCCCCATCAAATATTTTTGTTTAACTATTTTCAGCTATTGTTATTAGCATGGTGTGTATGATTTGGTTTGGGCCACAATGTAAAGACACTGGGAAATTTTCCAGGGGAAAAAAAGGGCATTATGCATGTTTCATTAGGGTTTTCAATGAATCTGACAATGTGGCACTGCACTTGGCTCTGTGAAAGACCAGGATTCCAAGCTTGAAATGCTGGGCCTGATTATAATAATTTTATTGAGTTAATTAGTATTTGTTTGACCCATTTTCCTTTTAATGATTTTCCTGCAATGTACCCTGAAGGGATATTTCTCAGATCTTACCATGCACATTGCATTGTTACTGTATCATATGTATCTGTGGATGTCCTACGAAAACTAATACAAACTTGAGAATTTGTGAAGTGGTTCTTCCTTTGTTTTTCTCTGAGAAAAAAGAAATACTTAAAAAAACTATGGAAGACAAATGCAAGATTTTAAGTTGCCTAAAAAGAACTATAAAAAGATTCAAATTGTGTTTATTGTATTCTATTTTGTTTCACATATTCACAAATGATTAGTTTACGACTGAGACTCATTAAAGACTTGTAATTCATTGTTATTTAATGTTTAAACCCATTCACATTAAATGAAATCAGACATGTTCATAAACTCTGAAAAATGGAGTTGAATCCAGGCATAGTCATGCATTACTAAGTCTAGATCCAAACCAGTTTATATCTAGTATTAAGATATTTACAAATCTGAAAAAGTTTTGGTTTGGTTACATGAAGGCTATGCACATTTGGAAGCTATACTAGCTACTCAGCTGGTAAAAAATGTACCCTTTTAATCTTCTTTGTTATACTGTTTGTTCCCGAGCACTCAAATTTTCAGAAAATTAATTAGTGAAATGGTAGTCATATCTAGGCTGACTTGGAAGTTGCAGAGAAATAGAGCTGGATATTGTCTTTGTGTTGATGACTCCTTGGCCTAAATCTTCTATTGACTGCTTTATAAGATCTTCAGTAATTTTGGGGACAAGGTGGAACCCTAACAGTACAATTGCCATGAGACTGAAGTATAATCACCCAGTGTTCCTGGAAGTAAAGTAGAAGTAGGACCACCAAATACAAGGCCTCTCATTTCCATACCACATAATCAATTCAGGAAAATTGAATTGAATTGGTATTGAAAGTTGTAGAGATCAAGGGGAATCAAGGCCACACATCCTTGTTATTTCTAGATTGGCCTGAACTCTTTCCCCCAACTCTCAAAGTTTGGTTGGGTAGTAGAAAGCCGTTTGAGCTGCATTTGCAGGATGTCCATGGTACCTTGTTTCAGGTTAACAATCTTGCATTTTGTGATGGGGTAGGCAATTTGTGTGGCTTATAAAAATCCTTTCATTGAGGAAGGCTGAAGTAGCTCTGAGTCAGCAGTTGCCATGTTCAAAAAACAAGATTTAAGATAAACATACAACATTTATGTTTGGCACGTTTTAAAAACTCCATCACCACACCCTTGAATTGAATTTTTCATTACATTCAGATCATAGTGCTCTGAACAAGCTTGTGTAGTAATGCTAGCTGCTTCGAATCTTGTTTGGAGAAACACCTGGCACAGTAGCAGTCTGAATTTCTGGAAAGGGTATCTTTTGAACATGTTTACATGTTGCAAAGTGAGTTTTGTGTGTCGCTGTTTACCACATTTTTCTCCACATGTTTTGAGCCAAGGTTTGGTCTGTAATAACTGACACTACAGTCTAGAACTTCCTCAAACTTCCTCAAACTCGGCCCTCCAGATGTTTTTGTGACTACAATTCCCATCATCCCTGACCACTGGTCCTGCTAGCTAGGGATCATGGGAGTTGTAGGGCAAAAACATCTGGCGGGCAGAGTTAGAGGAAGCCTGGTCTAGAAGTAGTAGAGTAAGACCAGAGATAATAAATCCTCTTAAATGTTGAAACCAGATTTTTTTTAAAAAAACTTACCAGTTTTGATTTTCAGAGTGTTAAGCTTCATATCATATCTGTCATTATTATTCAGATTTTGTAATTTAAAATCACTTGGCATACTTTTAACATAAAATTTGTAAACATCTTAAAATAGCAAAATTAATTGAGTAATAATTCAGATATTTATAATGGATGTGATATGAAGCTGAATGATGTTTTAGTAAAAACAAAGTGAATTCAAAACTTAATTACAGATATATCTTTGAAGATAGTACCTTAGGGCTCAAAAGCACATTGCTAGTAGCAAGTAATTAAAAAGTATAAATTGCTGAACATGTTTCTTTACTTCATTGCCCTATGCTTGCATTTTGTACTGAGGGGACAATGTGTCGAAATCCCGTAGATCCTTTGAATAACTGTTTTGTAGGGTTACATTTAACCTCTTGGATTGTCTGCAGACTGCTTTAGAATTACCTTTTATGGACATGTCTGTAGTGCATGCTCATCACGTGAGTGCCTGTTCCAGGTTTTGGTGATGTGCAAGCAAGCAGGGTGCATCAGCACTGTATTCTCACAAACATATATATAACCAGGTACAGTGGTACCTCGGGTTACATATGCTTCAGGTTACAGACTCCGCTAACCCATAAATAGTACCTCGGGCTAAGAACTTTGCTTCAGGATGAGAACAGAAATTGTGGCACGGCGGCAGCAGGAGGCCCCATTAGCTAAAGTGGTGTTTGAGGTTAAGAACAGTTTCAGGTTAAGAATGGACCTCTGGAACGAATTAAGTACTTAACCCGAGGTACCACTGTATTGAAGCCCCCCCCCCTTTCTCCCTTCCCATAAAACTGTTTGGGCACAGAACTTGGGAATCTGGTGTAATACCTGTCTGTAACTTTCACCATTATAAGCTCATAAACAAATTTGGGCAAAGCCTCTGACTCAATGTTTGCTGTTTCTTTCAATAAAAAAAAACCTCCCTGTCCATGGAAATAAAGTTTGGGAAGGGGTTAAAAGAAAAACTGGAAAGCATGCAGATATGCTCCTCCCCCTGGTAGAATCTGAAGTGGTACAGTCAGCAAAACGTTCCACATTACACTAGATGCTTGAATCTGCTTGAAGTCAGGATCAGATGATCTCATTGACGTTCATGAATTTTACATAGGATGCCAAGCAAATTGTCAGCAAATCACAGAACGTACCTGTAGAACAATGATTTGAACAATCAATGATTCTTTCAGTTAGCCTCTCTAAAAACAACAAGGACCCATGTTTTTGCACCATGCTAGTCCTCGAAAGTGTAGTTTATAACTTTTATATTTCAGTTAGTGAAGACAGATATAATCTGTAATTTGATTGCTGTATTTGAGAGGTGGTGTAGCCTAGTAATAACGAATGTGAACTGGCAGCCAGGAAATTTCTAGTTCAAATGTTAACCACAACCACAAACTTGCTGTGTCACTACTATCATGTTCAAACAGGGATGATAGCAAGAATTTCTACAATGATTTATGTGAGGTGCAACACTCTAAAACACTG